ATGGCAGCTCCCTAGTCCATAGCAGCTCCCTAGTCCATGGCAGCTCCCTAGTCCATGGCAGCTCCCTAGTCCATGGCAGCTCCCTAGTCCATGGCAGCTCCCTAGTCCATGGCAGCTCCCTAGTCCATGGCAGCTCCCTAGTCCATGGCAGCTCGTGCGTTTTCATCTCACGCAACGTCTTCGCGTCCTTCTTTACCTTCGGTCGCCTAAATATTTCCGTCTGACGACACCTATTCGTTTCGTACTTGATTCACCTTCCGCCCATGTCTTCGCTTCTGCTCTCTCTCTCTCTGCCCATTCCATTTGCGGATTTTGTCTGCCCACTGCCACGCCGCCTCCCATGCATTTTTCGTCTGCCATTATGATGCTGAACTTCGGTCTCTACGGAATAGCAATGATTGCGAAGCAAGCATGCATCAATACACCGATTACATTCCCTCACCAAGTTTCTCATCACTTTCAGCTCCTGAGATTCTGAAAGGGGAACAATACGGATCGGCGGTGGACATGTGGAGTGTGGGTGTGATCTCGTACATACTGTAAGTCGCTCGCATCTGCGCAGCTCTAAATCACGAGAAGCTGGGGTCGTCCGCGCGTAAAAAACTGGGATATACACAAAGCGCGCGAATATGTAATGCGGTATATATGTAGTAAGACGAGCAAGAACGAACTGCCGCACGCACGAGTTATTTGACAAAGAATTATCCGGCTAGTAAGAAGTAACCGCGCGGAAAAACAGCACTAGTGTAAGCACGAAAACCGCATAATTTCATTGATTGAATAATGCTGTATGACAAATGAAGGCGAGTGATACAATGCGAATACGGCTCATCGCGCTCTGCCCGCGTGAATCCCTGCCACTGACTTCCTGCTCTCCGGCTCTTTCTCACGCGCCGGACAGTGAGCTGACGGCGCTTCCCGTTGTTCGCAGACTGTGTGGGTTCGAACCATTCTACGATGAGCGTGGAGACCACGAGATGTTCCAGAAGATTCTCAGAGGAGACTTTGCCTTCGTCTCTCCGTGGTGGGACGACGTCTCCAAGTATGCCAAGGTAGTCCTCGGGATGCTTCGATCCGGTACCGCATGTACAAATCTCATAGTATCTTTATTTCGGTTGCTGATTATTAACATTTTTGGCTGTGAATCGAAATCTGATCGTGGTGATATATAGCTCGTCGCCTCCTTGGTACAACCAATGCTGCACTATAACATCAGAAGTCCAAACAACCCCCCGCGGAAAGCATTGACGATCGAATCTTTAGTCATGAGATATAGCGTAAGTAGCAAGTAATATGGCGAAATATCCACCGAATAGCTCTCGATGCAAATCACGAGGATGCGTATAGCCATCTCATTTACCAGGACTATTACATGAGCCCGTAATGACAGTCTGACTGAGCTAAGCCACTCTTAAAATCCAATTGCACAAATTTGCGCCACGCGCAGCAGTTATGCATAATTCACGCTAGATGGTACGCGCAAATCCGATGAGATGCAGGGGCGGATTCAGACCGTATTTGCCGTATTGGGAAATACGGTCTAGATTTCAAAGTGCCCTTCGAAATTTTGCGCTAAAAAATACAGAAAACAATTTGATGGAATTTGGCTATATTCTTTATTTCTTTTCTTCTGATTCATTGACAAGACTTGCAGGAAATCAAAATTTTAAATGGTAACAAAACTAACTTTGATATCTGAAAAAGAAGGGAAGTGCTTGAATCATTCTGCATTAATTGCTGGTATGCAAAGCGCAAGCAAAATGAAGCAGAAATATAATTCCATATGGTTTTTAGCTATTGATGCTTGACTAAATGTGTGCTGAAATGATGCTCATTTTTGCGCCCAGGTACCCTTGAAATTTCGAAATTTCCTGGAGGAGGCCCCCCAGACCCCCCGCCATGTGCTTCTGCGCCTGACGGCGCCCACTGTGGTGTGGTGTGTGCCCCTTTTGGGGGATGTGCCCTTAAAATCTGGAAAAATACTGTCTAGCTTCAGCCCTGGATCCGCCCCTGAGATGTCCCCTATATCATGACATACATAGATCACGCGTGGGATCTGTATTACACGCCACACCGCGCCATCTATAATATATAGATTTAGGCACTGCCTAAAAGCGGAGCTCCCGACTCTCACACTCCGTAGCTGCCGTTCATGTTCTCTGTGTTCTTCTGTGAAGTTTCGTCTGCAATCGCGTTTCCGCTCTCTTTCCCTTTGCCGCTGTTGATTAGTGAGATTCATTCGTGTTTGCCTTTCTCTCTCGCGCCTTTCCTGCTTCTCTTCTTCCGTCAAAACTCTTCTTTTCCCTTTTTTTGCAGCATTCCCCTTTGCGTTATCTGCTCTTGACGCCATTATGTACTCAGTTAAAAATTGATAGCCGCCAAAACAACAGGCAACCCGTACAGCCCGTAAGATTGATATGAGAGGATAGGCTTATTGTGCAACTTGCTGTGTGTGTGTGTGTGTGTGTGTGTGTGTGTGTGTGTGTGTGAGGCATACCACGTGACAATGGTGTTCCCCTGCCCTATGACAACTCTTGTCAAAGGATAATTGGGTAGGTGGAAGTGTTTACTTCTTGAGATAACAAAAATGCGCGCAACGTAACGTAGCACGCGGGAGCTCCGCTATTAGTAGTAGCAAGGGAGTTTGACACCTATTTGGTACTGATTTTACTACATTTTGTCGTACGAGTTCGATGTGAATAAAAATACAAATGTATACAAACATGAGCTTCTTTTGTTCACTGGTCCTTATTCTATCTTCCAGTAGTATTACAAACCGCGTAGCTTCCTTCGTTTTGACATAAATCGTACTTTTGCACGACATGGTGTTCACGTTATTTACCGTCGTGTGGCGTACCTCTGGTACATATCTGTAGTACCTGATACGACAACGACCCCATCTGCGGTAGTAGGGGTGCGTACACGGACGTACGTACGTCGTACGGACGGACGCGCCATCAAATATTAAGTAGATGGGTTACCATTGGTGCTCCGCTATTATAGATTCCGCTACGCCCTCTGTATTTCACGCCTACAATGGCCTCTGTATTAAACCCACGCACCGCCCTCAGCATAACACGCCATGCAGTGTCCTGTCTGCCAAATACCAGGCGACGCATTCTGCATTGCATCACATAGTACGTAGTACCCTCTCTCTGCCGCCACACTAAGTCGCAGATATTGCATTGTAGAATCTGATAGCCAACATGCTGGTGGTGGACCCGAAGGAGCGGCTGACGGCGCACCAGGCGATCCAGCACCCGTGGGTGGCAGGGGAGAGTGCACCGGGCTACCACGTCAAGCACATGTCTACCGCACTAGAGCAGCTAAAGCAGCTCAATCACGCCAGGAAGAAGATGAAGGTCTGCATACGACATACTCTATTCCAGTGGTTTTTAACCTTTTTGGCCTCACGACCCCATCAGACATTCTTGGTCAATACCGTGATCCCCGAAATAAAAATTGGAAAAAACAGCCCGATTTATGAAGACATGTCTGCCAATACCCAGTCAATGGGATGGCTGAAATTGCTTCGCAGCTATCAGGCGACGAAAACAAATTTCGGGTAAATGCTTTGGACTTGTGGGCAACCAAATTTATGAGTCACTTACTGATCGGGCAAGTGAGGAAATTTTTTTTTTGCAGCGCCCTGATAATTATATAGAATTTAAATGGATTTGTTTCATTTATGACCTCTTGATGACCCCCAGAAAAACTCCAAACGACCCCATGGGGTCACGAATCCCAAGTTAAAGCCCGGCGAACACGTGAGTAATTTTACTCAAGTAAAATGACGCATGAGTCAAAATACTCACGCGTAATATTTGCAGCGTTCGCCGCACACGTGAGTAAAATTACTCAAGGAATAAGTGGTAATGCAGATCACGTGACTGTGCGCAGCCAATACTGGGCGCGCAATGATTTAAACGCATGCGCTGTGAGTACCAGTGTTGAGTAAATTTACTCAGCGCGCGTGCGCGCACACGTTGAGTAAAATGACGCATGAGACAAAAATTATTCAACACGTTTGATATTGAGTAAAATGACGCATGCGTCAAATTACTCAACGAAAATACCCCGCACACGTGAGTAAAATGACTCATACGTCATTTTACTCGAGTAAAATGACTCACGTGTGTGCGCCGGGCTTTAGAACCGCTGCTCTACTCACTCCAGCTATCAGACGGCACGCCCTTTACCACATCAGCACCTCCCTCCCTCCTTGTAAACGACGAAGGCACGATTCTGAGGAACATCGCCTTAAAGATCCCCTTAACACAATCGCCGCTCCGCAGATCAATCAGTTAGATGATATCTATCGGCAATAATCAGCAGTGACGGGTTTCATGTGAATACACTTCAGTCGTTCGCCGGCATGTCTGCTTCATTATATCATCCTTCCTCTTCCGCAACATTTCCTCGCGTCTCCTTTGCTCTCGCCTCAAAGTTAATTGGCTTCCGTCATGAAGCAATGATTACGGGAAATTCGAGTCGACTATATACGCGTAGGGCAATCATTGGCTATCACTCGATGCGAGCGTTCCCGTTCCGTGTCACTCAACACCTGCCACGTTTCACGTACTTATGAACTGGTCTACTTAAGGAATAACCGTACACAAATAATCACACGAATCCTACCCAAATCCCAACCCCACCGTAATGGGATGGGGGGGGGGGTGTCATAAAGTAGAGACTTTGCAACCTGAGTTTTCTCTCTCGTTGCAGGCAGCGACCTCGGCTATTATTATGAGTCAGCGAGCGGTGCAGGCGCTCAACGAAGCAGTAATGAACCGGAGCCGCAGCGACCTTCCGAACAGCAGGTCAGGTTCACGCACTGCCAGCCCAACCAGCCCCAGTACAGGCAGCAGCAGGCTCTAGCCGCTAGAAAGTACGCATGCTAGCGATTCTTATCTATCTGCTCACGGGCACGGAAACCACATTGGTGACGTCGAAGCAGCAGCAGCAAATCTGGCCACACTCAGATTAAACAGTGGAGTGCTAACGATAGCTCTCTCGAAGCCACTGGCAATCTCGAGGTGCTATGGCCGGAGCTGATCGGACAAGAATCCTTCCGACGTCAATATTCAGTAACCTCTGGTTCCACGGAAGGAAGCACGAGCACACGATGTGAGGAGAAAGAGAGGAGAAAGAGAAGAGAAAAAGAAAGAAAGAGGAGAGGAGAGGAGGAGGAGGAGAAAGGGAGGAGGAGAAGAAGGAGAGCCTTGCAGGCAAATCTGATTCGTTGACTCCCAACAGGAGACCACAGCCTGGCCCCCAAAACGTGATCACGACCCGCAGCAGCTGACTAGAGGGGCTTCACTGAAACCTAATGCCCAACAAACGGATATAGCAGTACCATTGAAACGATCCCAAAAGGGGACTACAGGAGCAGCACCAAGAGCCGAGTCCAACAGTATGCTACAATACAGAAGCAGAACAGCTATTCGACAGAACAGAGTCGGACAAGACATCACCTGAGCAGTTTGGCGGCTGGGAAGCTGATCCTTCCAGCACAAGTGAACCTATCATGATGAAAATCAGAATAGCATAGACAAATATTTAATATCTCCATAACATGGCTATAAATAAGATTTGACGACGCAGTTAAACACTGCAAAACTAGCGCCACCGGATTTCGCAGTCACACCAAGATGCTCTCCTGTTGGTCTTCTCATCTATTATTACCTCCGCCAGGGGCGCGGCGAAGGTTATGTTTTCACCGGCGTGCCATTGAGTGTTGGTTTGTGTGTGTGTGTGTGTTACCATGCACGTTTCAGTTCACTTCCGCTAGGTGCGCTGGCTGTAGACTTACAAACACAGGCTAAGGGGCAACCACAGTCCTCCCCCACCTGCACGCTCGCACTAATCCGGATCCAATTAATTATTTAATTAATTATTTAACAAAATTAATTAATTAATAAAAAATTTCACATTGGGAGAATTCAGCTGCCTTGGCGGAGGTCTGTGCTCTCCGAGTGCTCTAGTTACCACTGCGCTTACACTGTGAAAGCAGATTATCTGCAGTCAAACCTATGTCATAGGTCTGCGGAATCACGGCACTACAATATGCTCCTCATAAGCTAGTTAGTCATTACAGATTTTAGCAGAATCTCATTACAGCTTATTAGTAGTTACGCGCAGTGACGAGTGCTGTATAGATCAGTTGTCAAGATTGATAACTCGACGAGTGAACATGCAGCCAATTAAATAAAGAATACATGCTAATGAATACAACGGTTTCATACACAATATTTTTGCCCTTTACTGACGTTATTATTACCAATTACAAAAAGCAATGCTCATTGATTCTGTCAAATAATAATGTCCGAATAGAACCGGAGATTATATACATGCATGCGACTGCTTCCTTTCACAACAATTTGGTCCCATCGACTGCAAAACACACAAGGCTGTCAATACTCTCAAAGCTCTCAAAGCTCTCAATACTCTCAAAGCTCTCAAGGCTGTCAAGCTCTGACTATGGTTAGATATATCTACTTAAATTACACAGTTCACTCTGCCCATACACCTGACTACTGTATTAATAACAGTATCTGCCACAATAACTTGTACCTTCATGTATTCAGTTGTAACATTAACAAAAATGTGATGCCTCTTTAAAATCTAGGCTTCTCACTTTTCGAGGTAACTGCTGGAGACTTACTGGAAAAAGCAGCTAGAGATTCCTAGTGAGTGTGAATAACAATGCTGATGTTCTAGCCGTATTCTGGATTCAAAATATATGGCCATCAGGGTGCGCCACTGTGCAACACAATTAGTCTGTGCGCACATGTTCTGTGTGAGCCTCGTTCTGCCTCTTTCAGCTCGACGGGAAAATACTCTGCGTGTCCACAATTCTTTATTCCACACTATCACGTTCCTCTCGGCATCTTAGACTACAGGCAATTACAAACACATTGACTTCTAAAACCTGGGTACGTGAGCAAAACAGGTCGAGCGCCTCGTCAAAACACGACAAAGTTGTCAAAACACGACAAAGTTGGCCGTGGTACCTGCTGTGGCTGAACAGGAGGCCTGCAGAGGATTTGTCGCGTAGATGTTAATGGGCATGTCCCAGACCATTGTCTCGACCTGCATGTCTATTGGGCCTCGCCACGTGCTGCTCTCCGATTGGTCAGCTGGTATCGGGTGCGTCTCCAGCGGCTGCGTTGCAGTCACAAACTCAAAGTGCAGTTTCCACTTCAAGGCCACTGTGTAAGCAACAGACAACATGCTGTAGAAGTTAACACATACACGGCAACCCACAGGGGGTGACGCAAGTGTGACGTTGGTGCAGGGGTGATGTTGACGTAACACAGTCGCACTGGCAACAAGTGTATGGCACACCACCAGACACACACCACACCAGGCATCACCACGACCTGACAGTTCTCATAGCCAGGGCCAAAGGTTGACAGCTATGACAAGAAAGTCTTCAGGTAATGGGTACATACAAGATATTTTTACAAAAAAAATAGAACAAAAATGTCATACCCATAAGGATACATGTAAAAAATTGAAAATTAAATAGCAAAGATGCTAAAAAAAGTGCCCCTTCACCAGGTTTGATTTACTCAGTTGCAATGTTTGCCACTTGCTTGTCTATTACACACCTATGTCTGTGACGAATCCCGGTGTGATCTGCAGAGGGATCGGCAGTGCCATGTACGTCTTGTTCGTGTGCAGGCAGAAATCATGGTGCTTAGTGTAGGAGATGGTGGTGCAGCCCTGCCCAGCCTTACAGCAGTACTCGTCCGATACCACCTCCTCGCTCTGCAGCGTCACGGAAAACTGCAACAAAATTCAAATACTTTTATTTATACCGGAGTGTTTCTGACATAGAAACGCTAGACCAAAACAAACAAAACACATTCTAGCATTTGATGTCACATTTGTTATATACTGTGCAGCTGAGTCATCATTACATAGTTTGTAGCAATTACAATTAGAAAATAGGTATAAATAAATTAGCATGATTTCTAGTAGACTATAAACTATCTACGTGCCAAGAATGTGATTGCACGTTATAACATCCAAGATGACATGTTGGGTTATGATACTCTGTCACATCACAACCTATAAACATTGCACACAGTACTTCTAATGCTTCTGGTAACTACTAACCTACCTACACAAAAGGTACAGATATTATCTTATATCACTCCCTCACACACACCCTAGCTTTTTAATGGCATTATCCGATAGATGCCCTTTGAACCCTAACCCTACCTGTACACATGGTATTGTTGCCACTGTGAAATCGAATGTCCCAACAATATCCTCTCCTAATCGGTAGCTAGATCTGAACAGGCAAAACTTGCACACTTTTCCCCTGGCATTGGTAATGTTGTAGTAGTCTGCAACAAGGTGGATATGTAGTACGCAATTACCGCATAACCGTGTCTTAATGTAGTATGCGTAACCGCATTTATGACGTTACAGAAACGACAAAATTCTAATGCTTCAGAGCAGTTCCTCCAAAGTCATACTGTGTTCTAACTGCTCTTAGGGATACTGTTAGGGTTGGGAAGTGAATTTCGGTCAAAATTTCAATACCCACTTTATTTGATAGATCGCAGCCATGGGCAGCTATGTATACGTAGAAATTATGTATGTAGCCTCCCAAACAGTTCCAAATCCCCGCATTAGTCAATTCTTAACACAGGCGTTCAATGGTGGGAAATTGCTGATATCTCGGTTGTTAAAAATGCTAAAGTAGGTGATTTTTCAAGCGCTATTTCTCGCAACTCGCAACTCTGATTCCAAATTTTCGTGTTACATTTCAATGCTAACATATCAAAGGAAAAAAGGGTCCCTGAATTATTTTTAAATATTATATTTTATGAGTTATGGCTTTGTTTACGAAATTGTTGCGTTTAGAAATTCACTACCAATTTTCGTACATCTTTTCAACTTGTTTCCTAAATTAAAGCATTTAAAAAAAATTCCAGGGACTCTTTTTTAGTTCATATTATGAACAACTTATGGTTAAAAGTTTAGGTCCCAACTCTCTGCTGTTTCTGAGAAATAGCAAAAAAAGCATGTTTTTGTATAAATGCACAATTTTTGCTGTCACTTAATTAGCAATGAATTAAAAAAAAATAATTCATCGAGAGCGTAGAAAGACATATCTCGTATGTAATGGATATGAGTTTGATTGAATTTGATGAGTAGTTATGTTGCAATGCCCTTTACAGTGTTACCGGTCCGTAACCCTAACAGTATCCTTAAAAGTACTTACGCCATGAATTTGTGAAAACAAATTATATTTTTGTCTTATTTAGAGTGCATTAAGCACTAGTGATGTCTCCGCATATATTCTAGTCACAACACTTTAGGCTGTGTTGGTTGGAGCAGCCAGAAAGCACTTACTAGGACCTCTCCGCGATGTAGCACACTGGAGAATCTGCATAGACTTTTCCAGTACAGGTCGCTCCTCCTCCTCCTGCAGGAAAGGATTGCTGGGGGTGACTGGCTCCTGCTCTTCACTCTGCTTTTTCATCTCTAAAATACCTACAGTTGGAAAATGTAATGCAATTCATTTCAATTCAGAATGCAGTTTGTAAGGTTGGTGACTCAACTACTTGAATTTCAGGTTCAATAGCACTACAAATACATTGTAGAATATAAGTAGGGTAAACTTCCACATTTACCATACGGCATAAGCATGATAGTTAAATATACATTTCTAGTTAAAATAATAAATGAAGAAAATATAAATGACACGTTTAAATAAATGCACACGTTTATTCAGATAGATACATACCACCATGGTGAAAGAAATCAAGACAATAAACCCATCACCAAACGCGATGTACACCTTTTGCAAGGATACTTCCTGAACAATACTGACTTTTCTCAATTTATATTCATGTGGCTGAGCACACCACCCAAAAATCGACATTGTAGCACTCCATTTGAAAAAAAAAAACTTTCTACCAATATTCGATGGGTTTTTAAACTTCGGTCACAATGTGAAATTTTGCACACCTCACGGAAACCACCAAGTCAATGCGAAAAAAGTTCTATCAAACACAAAGTACAAGCTGTAATTAAGCTGCATACCATTTACGACCAGAACGCGCAGCGGTACTCGCAGCAGTTTGATCGGGGAGTTGACCCTCTGAGTTCCGATCGTGATCTTGTACGAGTACTTCACAGCCTGGCCCTTGTACGAAGGTGGAGCATCCATTGGAAGTGTCTCTCTGTAGATGTCTGAAGCAGAGGAAGCGTGATTTCAGTAACTAATAAGAATGGAATCTCTACCTCACTTTTTTTGATTCGTGGAATAACATCTAGCTTTTGCTAATTGTTCAAGAACAACCACATAATTTTCTTACTAGCTAAAGCAGATATATATTTAGATGTTGAAATTTATAACATACAGACATAAGGGAGAATGTGCAAAGACAGCATGGAAAGATGAGAACAAAGTACTGTCATACACTGTCATCACAAGCTTTGGCACTTTTCGGTTAACTAATTAGGAATTATCATGGTTTTCAAAATAATATCAATTCATGCATGTTTTAATTTTATGGTTCCCTTGATGTTATCAACAAAATAAAGTTTGCCTCAACTTCTTAGATATTATTGATTAAACTTACATTTTTTTGACTCCCCTGGACTGAGTTGAAGGTCACAGAACAAAATCTTTGGAACGGATGAAAAGACGCACATACCCCTTTCACCTGAAATAATTAATCTTGTGTATATGAACTACAAAATGTAATTGCAAAAGGATTATGCAATGATATGACCAAGTCTAAAAAGTCTTGGATACATTTTTTGACTTTTTAATACACCTGTTTATATCAGTCCAACACAATTTTCATAGTCCTAACATAACAGCTTCAAAGTACTTGCAGTTGCAGTGCATCCGATGCTCTAGAAGGAAAGTTTGAAAACTTAAAGTAGCATTCACCTTTCTCACCTCTGTTTGGCAGAAACGATGTACTGCCATTTGTAGCCGTAACTACTTCGGCCTGCGTGGGGAGAGGGGATTTTGGCAGCCGTACGCGTGCTTCACTTACAGTGCACTGGCAGTGGATCTGAGCACTGGCCCATGCCAAAACCTCCACAGCATCTCTGGAAATGGTAACAAGAGGCTTAACTTAGACAACATCTACAGACCTACTGTTTTACTCACAAATACTCATAATATATCAATCATTTTTACTCCGACAAATTTGATCCGACAACATCTAAAGACCTACCGTTTTACTTACAAATACTCATAATATATAAACCATTTTTACTCCAACAAATTTGTTCTAGTACACTATTTACATTTGTTGGAAATCGATTTTGCACTTGCAGTACTAGGTAAACAACACGCCAAAAACTTGGGTTAACTCCAACATTAAGTTTGGACACAGTTCTAACAAGTTAACTGAAACAATACTGAATTTCTGGAGAAAAATACAAAAGAAATCAGTGTGTATATTCCCCTGAATAACCAATGGGAACAGAGTGAAGAACCAATAGGAAGTGCAAAATTAGTGCAGCTCTATGCTTCTACGCTCTCTACGCTTTTTATTACGCACGTACACTTACCTGCTAGACCTCGACTCCACATTTGTGTTGTTAGGATAAGTGAAAATGAGGCTATACTCAATCGTCTCACCGGCGAGAAAGGTAGACCCCCTCAGCAGATTTGCCTTTACTTCAATCATCTCATCTAGCAGGAAAAATGTTTAATTTTTACATTTTTAATATAACCTTTCATTACAAATTTAACAATAAAATTGTAAATATTATCATTATATATATTGGATCAACTAATATACACAAGAGAGTCTTTTCAGCATTGGTTTTTACAATGTTGTTAGGGGAAAGCTCCTTTAAAAGATATTTCATGCTAAAAAGTTTTCTAAATTCTTCAACTTGAGCAATGTGAACATGTTCTCTCTCTCTCTCTCTCTCTCTCTCTCTCTCTCTCTCTCTCTCTCTCTCTCTCTCTCTC